CCCCCCCCCCCCCCCCCCCCCCCCCCCCCCCCCCCCCCCCCCCCCCGTGGAGCTTCCCGTGCTGCCGCCGCCGTCGCATCGCGGTGGGACGCGAGTTTAATTTAAATTAATTTAAATTAATTTAAACACACCGGACACACGCCACACACACCCCCCCGCCCGCCCCGCCCCCCCCCCCCCGGGGGGCCCCCCCCCCCCCCTCGGGCAGTTGCCGAGTCACGGCCGGGCGGGGCCGCGGCGGGGCGGGGCGGGGCCGGGCGGGGCGAGCGCCGCAGCGGGACCAGTCGCCAGCTCCTGCATCCCCGGCCCTGCCACTCGGAGCAGCATCATCATCATCATCATCCTCCGCACCCCCCTCCCCCCCGCCGGGCCCCGCACCCCCCCCTTCCCCCCCGCGGCGGGGCCACCATGGCCGAGATCACCAGCGTCCACCCCGGCTTCGGTGAGTGGGGGCCCGGGGAGGCGGCGGGGGGACCCCCCCGGGAGGAGCCGCCGCCGGGGCCGGCCCGTGCGCGGCGGCAGCGGCCGCGCCATCGCTCCCGGTGCCTCCGCCCCCCCCCCCGACGGCCGCGGCCCCTCGTTATCCGCCGCTCCCGCTCCCTCGGCATCCCCCCGATCCCGCTCCTTCAGCATCCCCCGGCCCCGCTCCTTCAGCATCCCCCGCTCCCCGAGCATCCCGCGGTCCCTCCGCTCCCGGGGGCGGCCCCGGGGGTGCCGCCGAGCCCCCCGCCCGTCGCTGGGGCGGTGCCAGCGCTCGGTGCCGGTGGTGCCGGGGGTGGGCAGGGGAGAGGGGGTCGCGGGGGGGGAGCGGGTGCGCGGCCGGGGCTCGGGGATGACGTGATGTCTGTGCCGGGCCGCGCCCGCGCCCCGGCCCTTTGTTCGCGCTCCCGGGGGCGGCTGCGGCACCGGCACCGGCGGCACAAGGCGGGGCCCGACCGGGACGACCGGGGGGTGCCGCGGGGGGCGGGAGGAGGGGGGGGGTCCCGCAGCCCCCCGGAGCGGCCCGGGCGGAGTCGGGAGCTGGTCCCGGGAGCTCCGCGGAGGGGATGGAGAAGCTCCAAATCCCTCCTGGGCCCCGCGGGCAGAAGGGTTTGGGCCTTGCCGGGCCCAGCCCGGGGAGGTTTTGCCGAGAATCCTGGATTTTAAGATGTTTTTTTTTTTTGGCTGCGGCCGCGGGGTGAGGAGGGCGGGGACCGCAGCGCTGGGGGGCCGGGGGTTCCTCCGGCCCTGGACGCCCAAAGTGATGCTCTGTGTGTCCTCCAGCATCCCCCTGACCTTCCCCTCGGACCTCCGGCACCGCGGTCACAGCTTTTCCTCTAAATCTTTGAGTACCCATCCATATTCCTCCACCCTCCACCATTTATCTGATGGCCAAATCCACTCACCTCTTCCCTTCTGGCTTTCCTGGAATCCCAGAGCCCACGTGCTGCCACTATTCCACTACTGCCCATCGAGGTTTCATCAGCAAACGTCAATTTTTAAAGGAGGCTTTCCACAATTTTGGATTTTGTTTCAGTCAAACCGTAGCATCACCTCGGAGCAAAGGTCTCTTCCACAAAGTTTGGATAAAAGGGCAGAGAGTTCTGCTCTGCTGGAGGGAGGTGCCAGCCTGTGGTGCCATTTCAGGTGGGCACTGGAAGTGCCCTAGAAGCTGCAAAGGCTTCACTAAAACTGGCTCCAGGCAGCTTTAGATCCGTGTGGTTTCCAGCTGGAAGGAATTATGGAGACAGGACCAATGGATGTATGGAATGGTTACATAAGTAGGAGCCTTCAGCTGGAAAAAGGGGGATTATGGGCAGCACGGGGGACGGAAAGGGTCATTTTCTGCTTCTCCTGATGCAGGAACAGGCATTGGAAGGGATGAGGTGGGACAGGAAAACCCTCTTTGCTCATGAGGCTCTTTGCCACAGAACATCCTGGGAGCCAAATTTAAGGGTTGAGAGAATATTTAAGGGTTGAGAGAATATTTAGGGGTTGAGAGAATATTTAGGAGTTGAGAGAATATTTAAGGGTTGAGAGAATATTTAAGGATTGGAAGAATATTTAAGGGTTGAGAGAATATTTAAGGGTTGAGAGAATATTTGAGAGTTGAGATGATTCGATGGAAGAAAGATCACAGGGACTTATTTGGTGCTTTTTGGGGCTGCTCCTGAAATTGTCCCCTCAGAGGTGCAGGAAAGGAAGGTACAGGAGCTGATTTTGTGAGGACACAAACAAAACACACACAAAGAATGAGAGTAAGAATAAGAATAAGAATAAGAATAAGAATAAGAATAAGAATAAGAATAAGAATAAGAATGGGGTTTCAGCATTCTTCTTGAATATCCACCAGAGCTTTTAACAGCTGAGTTGTCTCCAAATGAGCTGTTTAAGAGCACTTGCCTCTTTTTAAAGAGGGAACATTAAATAATAAACCAAAGTTGATTTTTTGGGGGTGTTTTGTCAATATTATAAACCCCTCTTGCTTTAGTTAATTCAGCCCAAGGCTCTGTTTGCAGGGAGACCTGAGACAGGTTGCTCTGTGAAACCAGTGCAGAAGATTCCAGCTGCAGGCTGGGAAGGTTCCTGCCCAACCAAAAGTGGATTTTTCCAGTTTTGGGAAAGGGCAAAACCGTTTTCCCCAAGCCCTTCAGGTGCTCAGGTTACAGCCTGGCAACCTTGTCCTCCTGCCTGTTCCCCTCAATAAATGGGCATGTGGGAAGAACAGAGAAAATCCCGACTCGTGGTGCTCTCTGGAGCTTCAGGGGTGAGGTGAGAGGATTATTTTCTCCTGTTTGTGGTGCAGAATGAAGAGGGAAATCAGACAAATTTACCTTTTTTTTTTAACCAGCTGTCCCGTTCAGCTGTTGCCGTGATTGTCGTGTCGGTGGTTTCTGGTGAAGAAGTGGTTTGTGAGGAAAGAGATGTGGGGTTGAAGCGCTTTTTTTTTGGTTTGCTGGCTCCCAAAAATAACAGAAAACAGCTTTAAAACCGGGAACACAAAAATAAGTCCTGTGAAAAGTCTGGCTCCACTTTCCCTAAAACCTCCCACCAAGAAACCGAAGGCAGCACAAAGATCCCCCCTTTCCTTCCCTTTCAGGACTGAGCAGCCCCTCCTTTTGGTCTCTCCTTGCCTTCCATCTGCTCCCCATCCTCCATCCACTCCAGATTCCCAATCCTTGGCTGGAATTGCTGAGGGATGTCAGTCCTGGGCAGCTCAGGCTTCCCTCAGTGCCTGGGTGAAACCCTCTCCAGAGCCATCCATTAGGGAATGACCAGCGTGGCTGCTAAAAATAACCACGGGGTGGTTTTTATGCTGCCCTGGAGAACGTAAATTGGCCTAAGATCTCGAAAACATCAAATAATCCCTTAAATCCAAACGCGGGATTTTCTGTCCCTTGGTTTTTTTTTTTTGGACGCTGGATTTCCACGGGAGATTTTGGCCTCGTGTCGGGGCAAACCAAAGCATTTCAGGGCAAATCAAACCATTTCAGGGCAAACCAAACCATTCCAGGGCAAACCAAACCATTCCAGGGCAAACCAAAGCATTTCAGGGCAGACCAAACCATTCCAGGGCGAAACAACAAAACCATTTCAGGGCAAAATGGTGTTTTAGGAATGGTTTTAGGACTCGGCTCCGGCGTTCCGGCCACGCTCCCCGGTGTTGTGAAAACAGAATTGTGTAACGTCTGCGAGCAGGGCACCAAAAAAATAAAAGCCAGTGCCTCCTGCGAATCGAGAACCCGCGTTCCTATGGAGATGCTGGTGAGGAGGGAGCCGGGTTTGGCAAGAGAAGGCAAATCTGCTGTTTGAAATCCTCGGCACATGAAGGGGGGGGGAAGAGAACGCGGGTCGGGAGAGCCGGGGGGTCGATCTGCGGGCGGAAAAGAGGGGAAGGAGTTTCCAGGGGGAGCTTTTGGCGGGGTTTTGGCGGGGTGGGGCCCTGACCGCCTGGTCTCCCCGCAGACGTGTCCCCCGTGGTGGCCGGGCTGATCGGCGCGACCGTCCTGGTGGTCTCCGTCTCGGTCACGGTGTTTGTGTGGACATGCTGTCACCAGCAGGCCGAGAAGAAGCACAAAAACCCCCCCTATAAGTTCATCCACATGCTGAAAGGCATCAGCATCTACCCCGAGACCCTGAGCAACAAGAAGAAAATCAACCGGCTGCGCCGAGACAAGAGCGGGACCCCCAAGGAGGCGGCGCGGGGGAACCTCCTGGTGGAGGCGGCCGAGTCGGGGCTGGCGGGGCCCGACAAGGCCCCGTCCGCGCCCGCCGCGGCCCCGCGGGTGGAGCAGCTCCCCATCCAGCTGGAGTACGGCGACGAACTCAGCCCCGACCGGAGCCTCACCCCGGCGGGCAGCAAAACCTCGTCGCCGTCCTCGCCGGGCGACGACGTGACGCTGGGCGAGCTGACCTTCTCGGTGGACTACAACTTCCCCAAAAAGGCCCTGGTGGTCACCATCCAGGAGGCCCGCGGGCTGCCCGTGATGGACGAGCACACGCAGA